GTTTATTTCACTGGTGTGGTGTGGTACATTGCGGCATGGTTTTGCTTCTGGTCTGCAGCCAACTTTTGAAAATCTTTTCTGAAATAGAGGATAATTTTTCCCAGATCACTAATAAACCACTTGGAAGGAACTGGGCAGGGAAAAAATACCCCCCCCCAGCTGTGCAGTAAGGCACCAGGAATCTTTTTCCTGAAATATAAAAGTTAAATTGATAAAAAAAGCCCACATATTTAAACTGTAAGACTTCAGTGAAATGAAGGTAGCAGTTGGAATTGGAAAAAGAAAAAGCATTAGAACTAGCTGAGATTTTACTTGGAAACTACTTACATAAATGACTTAAGTTCATAAAAAGCTACAGAAGTGAAACAATAAAATATTGCCTGGGCCCCCATAAATAAACCAAGCCAAATCAATTACTTTTCTGTCTATAAGTCACGAGCAGTTTATAAAGCATAGAGTGAATGAACAGAGGAACTCATAATAAAGTGTTACCACTTCAACAACATTATTATATACAGCATCCAATTTCTGGAGCTAGAAAGCAGGTGCCTTTCTTCACAGCAAGCTGCCATTACCAAGAGTAGCGATCTTATAGAGGCTACTATATGTTTATTGGCTGCATAAAGACAATTAATAGCCCCACTCATAAACAGTTACCAGTTTATACAGCATATTTTAAAATTAAAGGGATTAAATATCAGAGTGCTGCTAGCACAGCACAAGTGGCTCAGCAATTGCCACAGCAAAGCAAATGTGCTGGGTAGCACAGCTTGGAACTGCAGAGAGGGGGCCTGGGCGAACGCCACCCCTCGGGGACTGTAAAATTGAAGCTGAACAGGTATCAGCCAGTGATAAGGAAATGGGGACACTACAGGTTGCTTTCTTCTGCCTCCCCTTGTTCTTCCAGCAGTGCACGTGCTCTGGGACTCCTCTGGTTCAGTAACTTGGTGGGCAGTTCCATGGATGGGTCCCTGCAAAGGAGACAGCAGAAGTTTGGGGTGCATTAGGTAACATTTGCAGCTGTGGTGTAGGCAGCCAGGCTATGCAGCCCCTCAAAGCCCCTTCCAGCTTGGTTGGATTGGTAGAGGCACAAGTGTAGAAATGTGTGACTGCAGGAGTTTGCCAGCTGAGGGCCTCCACTGTGTGCAGATGCATAGCAGAGCCAGAGACCTCAAATGTATGTTCAGTAGCTTTTACCATGAATCTCTGCAACTGACTCTACCTTCTATTTGAGAAGATAAAGGTTTCTTCTAATGCCCCGGTGCTTTCTGCTTTGTCAGCACATTAGAACTGCATGAGGACTGCTCATGGGGCTTTAGAAACAGGATGGGGTCATCTTTGCCCCTTTGGGCTGCACATCCTTAAGGACAGCACAAGATTTGGCATGAGCGAGTGTGAAGATGTAGCCCCTGCTGCTGATCTCGTGTGCCTGCTGCGTTGGCACTTGGGCGCATTGCACCGATTCCCCAAAGAATAAAGAGCAGGGAGCACCTGAAGGCAAAGTAACTCAGCTGCATGGAAGGTGATGGTGTGCACACAACATATGGCGCTTGTTCTTTTTTACTATTCCTCTGAAATATGCTGTGCTTCAGGAGGAGCACAAGCCTGAGATAAAAATTTGCTTTGCTCCAGGAGCATGCAGCTTTATGGGCTGGTTCAGGTTCCCACACAAAATACTCCTGATACAGAGCAGGTCTTGGCACTGTCAAAAAGGGAGTTTAAGACCTGTGAGTTGCAGAGCCAGGGGGTGTCTTGCAGCCAGCGCCTTTGCTAAACCAAGAGGTGCTGAATTGGAAGGGGAGAGGTATCACGCTGCGGGCAGGTACCACCATTGCTAGCAGCACATTCCCTCATGAGCAGGGCAGTGGCTGTCCAGGCCAGTCCCTGGGATTGCCCTCCTGCCCCCTAGAAGAACCATGGCTTCATCCTTGTCATTCTAGGACTGGCCCTTTCTACTGCTGGGGTATGTGGGCTGTGCCTCTCTCTGTGGAGGGGTTTTGCATTTATTCACCTCCAAGTTCAGAAGTCGGTGCCCAGAAAAACACTGCTAGCAAGGAGCCAGTCCAGCTCACATGTTAAGGCTTAACGTGAAGAGAAAAATATTATTTAAATATTTTAGCTGTGCTTTTTTTTGGTGTTATTATAGGACTAGGATAGTTGGATTAGATAGAGAAAAACTGACACTGTGACAACACTACCTCACAGTCACAGGTTTTTAACAAATCTTAGCTGCAAAGCCAGCGTGGATCAGGAAACGGCACTGGCTCTCCAGCCTGTTCTCCCCAGGGCAGCAATAGAAAGAGCAGTTACTGACAGTGAGTTGCTCCTCCAGGTTCTCTGATCAAATCACAGCAAAACAACCCAGAATCAGCATTAACCTTACAGGGCATATAAATACAAGACCAGCGGAGGGGGAGCCAACCTGGTGTGTCAAGCACTGCACCCCAACCTCCTTCGTCCCCATCAAATATCAGTTCACACATTCAGTCTCAGAAGGAAGGTTAAAAGTGTTCCACACGTGGCAGCACATCAGGCTTGTGTGCTGTGCCCTGCGAGAAGCAAAGGGCCACACCAGCACTGACTCACCCTGTGCCCAAAAGGGATGTCCCTGCAGCATCAGCTGTTGGCTCCCAGGTGAACAGGGCCTCATCTGTTTGAGCGGAATTTGGGTGTACAGGCTGCTTTCTTCTACCTCTGGGCAGCAATGACCTATTATTGCAAACCTACTTCAGTTTCCACATGAGGGGATGTGGAAAGCAGGCACTTTGGAGAATACTATTATTTTGGCTATTTCTTCTCATCTGCTACTAGATCTGAAAGGCAACAGGAAAATTTACACTAGGAGGTAGCAGCAGAGGTGTTCACATTTCCAGCCCCTTCCACTGCTAACAAAT